GGGGGCTTATGGAGTACATCCATCTTTCATATACAGTCTCTACAGAACTGTATGTAACTCTAACGACGGCGTGTTAGGCTTGTCTGATATATTGAGTTGCTTTAATTTTTTTCCACTTCTGATCTTGAGAGACAAAGGCACCTAAACTCCTTCCTTCCACTCACCTTTCCCTAGATGTTCTCTGCTAAACATAAGTGTTACATGCATTGTTTCATATCAGACTATCTGCAGAATTGCAAAATGAAACAAAACGCGCTCAGAGAAATTCATAAGCAGGTTATCTTTAAATTCACGGTGAGCTTCTTGTGACGCTCTTATTGCTGCTCTTGTGAGGACTCAAAAAAAACCCTAAAACTCATGACGTGAGAGAAGTTGCTGCTATTCAGCACAAAATATGTCCCAGTGCACTCAGATTGAAGCACCGTGAAGGTCGTGTGTGTGTGTGTGTGTGTGTGCTTTATTGCTGATCATGGAGCTTGCTGTCTGTCTCAGCACTAAACGCCTTCTCACCTCCACATTTTGACCTGAGCCAAGAACTTTACTGCCCTTCAGCACTTAAATTGTCTTTCTTTCTCCACCTCCTCTCCGCCTCGGTTAAGTCAAATGCAACCAAAACACGACTAGACTCCTCATCGGTCCTCCCGGTGCTGTTTTTATATGTCGTCTACTCTTCTCGTCACAACTTCTAAGCTCAGATTTGTCCCACGTCGCATCCCGTCGACCACGTTAACGGCGTAGGCACGCAACGGTGAACCTGTAAATCGCGGGCACGCTCACGCTGCTTCTGGCATCAGCCATTGCTCCAGCGTGGCCGGATTTGCGTGCTCTCCTCATCTGTTCAGTAGGTGGGGTTGCCATGGAGATGTGGCATTTGCAGTGCTGCTGATGGGAGTGATCGGTCTGCATTGCACACACACATATATAAAGAGCTAAAAATAGAGGGCTGGCTCCCTCTCTGAATATTGATCCTTATCTAATGATGCCTCAGAGGAGAAATGAAAAGGGGGCAGAATCTCTGTGCGCTGGACAGACGAGAGAAGCCGGCTTTCATTTTGGGAACGTGCGAGCGTTATGCTGATTTATCACTTCACCCTCATTAGCCGGGGCTGTTTTTAAAGTGCAGAGTTCTTCACTGGTTGGTCATCTGCAGTTGTGTTGCAGCTCAGAAGAAGCAGGTGTTGGCTTTCTGTGAGAGGTCAACAGCTGTTCACAACTGGACCATTAACCTTGTGTGTTCATTAGGTGTAGAGACACTGACTAAGATTGATGTGGGGCCGTGTGGGTGCATTGCGCCTCATCAGGGGTCTTTTGTCTTTGCTGCCACCTGAATGAAGATGCAGAGTTCTGTGAGAAGTGAAATAAGATGCATTTAGAAATATTTTAGTGGCATTTTCTGTTTTTATTAGACCCCTGACAGCAAAGAAACGACAGGAAACGAGAAGGAAAAGAAGCACCTAAAGGAAGCTGATTTTAGTAGAGCAGTGTGATGTTCATAGTTCAGCTGTGGGTTAACAAGTTGTTAGTGAAAATTAAAAACCATGAAATGATAAATGCATCTTCACCTCTTTGATAGTTTTGTGTGTTCTCTGCTAATGGAGCTAATAAAGGATGAACTGAAGGACTTTTCCTTAGTGTTTAGCCCCCGTGAAGAGCTTTTTATTAAGGCTCTTATAGTTCGGTCACTTCCCTCAGTTAGGAGCCTTCCTGAGTAAAATTAACCTATTTGACCGCACTCCTGGAGAACTGCACATCGAATAAAGGCCTGTCCAAGGTTCGCTCTTTTTTTGACTTGTCACGTTCCTATTTTGCCACATTTGATGGTGTCGAGTCAAAGGTTCTATAAATGACCACAGTTGACCAAAGTGCTGTACAAGTTGTACAATAATATACACTGTGTATAACAGTCACTAAACCAGCAGTAAATATACGATAAAGTTCAAAAGTTGGGACTCTTGCCTCATTGGCTCTTGCTCTCCTGTTGCTTCTTTTCCACTGGTACCCACACCACTCAGCTTGTCTCGGTCTTTGAAGTTGAGCCGAGATGGTAGTAGTGGAAAAGAGGCATAAGTCCAGTTAATACTACCTACTGGAAAACAGAACTCTTCTTCACTTCCTGTCATTTTCAAAGGAGATTATGTAGCCAGTGACAGAAATGTGAAGTGAAGGTTCACAGTGAACATAGATGGTGTTATTATTTTGTCATCCACACACAGTGGAGTCAAAAAGACTTCCATACTGCCACATTATGTTGCTCTCATCTCTGTTGGTCAGTTTAGTTAGTTGGAATAAAAGAGTTGCACACAGCCAGAGCATGTAGTTTTGTCGTGGTGCACTTCAGTGTGGGAGCTACTGGACCTCCCACACTTGGTCCAAGTCAGAGTCACAGAACCTATTTTTATGCATACATCCCGACTTGGTCCAGGTCTGCTGTGTACCTCTTTCTGAAGATGATGGTTTGTCAAATCTGTCATACTCCTGGTATTTTAAGTCTAAAATGAATCCTTTAGTGATGACTAAACGGTGCACATTCGGAGAACTCACAGGACCTTGCAGGATTTTCACCCACACTTAAACGCGGAGGTTTTCTGGTCATCCCCCTGACCTCTGACCTGTGAAAAGCCCAGGCTGGGATGGACTCTTTATTTAATGTGAGGACGTCAAAACTGAAATGCAAAACATTTCAGCCGTTTATGTGTAATTGAATCCTGAAAACGGCGACAATGAAAACACAATCAGCGGCTGCCTGCTTTTGAAGCCGCAGAGCCGTTTCCACCATCACTCGGTGCGTTTCTTCTGCTGGAATATGCTCACACCGACACTGCGAGGTGCCAGACGCTCGCATCGCGAGGATGCGTCTAATTGCATCTGCCGAGGTGCAAAAGAACTCTGCAAAGCTTTAATTACACCTATCTCGCCCACTCGTTTTGTCTGCCTGCTTGTGTGACAGCTGAAATCATTAAACACGGCGAGAAGGAGAAGACGGGCGAGCTGAACGACTGGGACCGAGAACTGGGAATAAAAAGTGGGAGGTCTGAGTTGTGTTGAAAATGTGAAACTCATTGTCATCAGCAGGGGATTGTGAGTTGATGGGCTGCTTATCTGCCTTTTGTTTCTCGTGCGCGAGCGTGTGTATAACGTGAAGTAATGCGGTTCAGTGCAGGGAGCTGCAGGAGGCCGGAGCAGCTGAAGGTTAATGAAGTGCTGTATTAAGAGCAGTTTGGTAAATTGCTGTCAGATGGGCCACGCGGTGAAATGAGAGGATCAGCAAGAAGCTAAATTGAAATTATCCTTAAAGGAAAATTGTAGTTTCTTTCAAGCTTGGCTTTATTTTCGGTCACCATTCCCACTGGTACTCACTGGAAGTGCTGTACTCACCAAATGCTGAGGAGAGGGCGGTGAGGAGCAGTTAACCACTTTTATTCAGGATTAAATGAAGGTGAAGAGCAGAAAGGTGGACCTGTTAAGCAGATTTCACCACCTAGCAACAGATGACGTATGTCAGATAAAGTCCGATTCCCACAGCTGCTCTGAGTTTGAAACGTTTTACTCATTTAGTCGCATTTCTGATTTTCTTCAGAGTGAATTTCAAAGAGCCGGAGGCGGTGCGAGCGCTGACCTGCACCCTGTTAAAGGAGGACTTTGGTTTGGCCATCGAGATCCCTCTGGAGCGACTCATACCCACCGTCCCCCTGCGCCTCAACTACATCCACTGGGTGGAGGACCTCATTGACGGCCAGAAACAGCCGCGCAGGGGCATCGACATCGGTACGGCCACCAGTTTCAGTCACCTTCAGCGCACGTGTGATGTGATAGTCTAGTTAAGCTGCTTTGATTGGTTTATAAGACGAGAAATCAGGCTTACTTAGTCACTTACTTAACTTAGTTCAAACATGGTCATTTGCACTTCCATCACTCACTGTCAGACTCAAAATATAAGGTCATCTGCACTGACCCAGTGTGTCAGACTTCACTCTAATGCATATGTGTTTCAGTTCTCACCAGTACCTGTACATCTGTGTAAAATGAACGTGCTTTTCCTTTAAATGCTGCAGCAAACCCCAGCAGCACATCTTTAAACATTAATAACCACAGACGGGGGGGATTTAAATGTTAATGCCGCTGCTCTGATTTTTTTCTTGATGTGGCTCGCCGCTCGGCACAGCACCTGAAATGTCAGTTGGCACTTCCAGCAAATGAGCCCAGTCATTCCCAGTTTTCCCAGCACTCGCCAGCCTGATCCCCAGTCACACGTCACTACTTGTTTTTCATTCTGTCGCTCAGAGAAAACAAGGTCTGACTTTAAATGTGTTTTCCTGCAGGTGTGCTTCTCCTCTGTAGTTCCTCAGGTCACTGATTGGTGACCCCGAACCTTTATGTGAGCCCACTGAAGCTGTCTGCTGCTGATGGATCACCACTGGGTGTTTCCTTTTCTAACCGAGGCCATCTCAACTGAATTATGTGGCTTTGGTTCTTGTTAGATGGGAATAATTTAATAATAGCTGCTGGATTTGACATTTATTGACCATTATGTCCACCAAGTCTAAGATAATTCTTTAGAAACGCATCATGTCACACTTTGGGACCTCCTTCCTTCAAGACAACAAAAACACTGCGGCACATTTTCATATTGTTCAGTGACAGCTATGATCAGTCATCATTGTGAACACATACATCACTGTCAGGCTGCCAGTAACGTACGTGTGTGTGTGTGTTTCATCAGGCACTGGGGCGTCCTGTATCTACCCCTTACTGGGAGCCACAATGAACGGCTGGTACTTCCTCGCCACAGAGGTGGACGACATCTGCTTTGACTATGCTACCAAAAACGTGGAGCAGAACAACCTGTCCGACCTGGTCAAAGGTGCGTTTGATCTACTCAATGTGAAGGTGACTTCATCTTCAGATATTAGACTACTACGCTGGAACTCTCATACACTGTCTCAGAGATGATGTTTTATGTGTGAGCTGCAGCACTGAGGATGAATTCCAGGATACTGTGATTACTAAGAAGTGGATTAATATGACAGCAGGAAGAAGTCAGCTACCATTAGCCACCACAAGCTACTGGTCACGTCAGGTCAGCGTGACTTTGGAAATAAAAACAAAACCATTTTGCACAAATGTTCAGTTGGATGAAGGTTGATCCCACTTTTCTGGTCATAATTCATGTGATAGTGATGAAAAGGTTTAAACATCAGATATCATCAAAGGTCCAGTCTGACTTGAATGATGTGTAATTCGGAACATCTTGGATTTCACCTTCTACCTGTGGGTCTGATACAGCCTGGAGACAGATTGGTTTGTTAGATGATGAGGTTTGCAGGGCCAGTGGGTAGTTTTTCGGGGGCTTCTGGTGAAGCCGGTGAATATCGATGCAGAGACTTCCTGTGCGTCTAGTGGTCATTGTTTATGATTGTAGATGATGCCGCTATAGCGGCTCTGACCAGCAAAAAATTAAGAAGCTTATGTAGGTTGCATGGTGCAGGCTTGTTCTGGCAGATCCCACAGATGTTCCACCGGGTCCTCTGGAGTTTGGAGAGCAGGTTTGTTGTATTGCTTGTGCTGTTCCTGAGCAATTTTTGCAGTGTGCTGATGTCCTGCTCGGAGAGGCCACTGCCATGAAAGGTATACGTGGTTTGTTCCAGCAGGAAACAGATATTTTCATCAGTCCTATTTTTAATGCTGTGGCTGCTTTGTGCAATTTGATCACTGATTGTTGGTGTAAATATTTCAGCAAGTCCTGTCAAAATCTCGATATCCTGCCTTGAAAATGCTTTGTTTCCTGTTGTAGTAAATAGGATGTCTTTTTGTGACACTTAGCCGGACAAAACAGGGACGTCTCGCTGGAAGAGTGTCGTATTTAGCCTGAGCTGAGACTAAACTTGTCTCTGCTCAGCAAATCTGTGGCTGACAGGAGTGCAGCACACAGTGACTCGGGTCCCATTTTGTATTGACAGTCATACATTTTATTCAGCTTTTACACGCTTGTCTCACATTAGTGTTTATTTATTTATTTTACCTTCCTCAGTCGTCAAAGTTCCTCAGAAGACTTTACTGATGGATGCCTTGAAAGAAGAGACAGAAATGGTGTACGACTTCTGCATGTGCAACCCTCCATTTTTCGCCAACCAGCTGGAAGCAAAGGTAAAAGTTCACGTTTAAAAGTAGTTTAAATTCTGGAGCGTTGTCTGCTTTGACCTTGAAGTTTCTGACTCATTGACAGTAAATGCACTCGTATACTGACCGGAGAGGCTCCAGCACCAAACACAGTGTGTTTACGTTTTAGTAACAGGGCTCTAATAGGATTTTATTGTAATCTCTGTCTGTCTTGCTGCCCTCTCCAGGGGGTAAACTCCAGAAACTCACGCCGACCTCCTCCCAGTTCAGTGAACACAGGCGGGGTGACAGAGATCATGGCAGAGGGCGGAGAACTGGAGTTTGTCAAGAGGATCATTCATGACAGCCTGCAGCTCAAGAAGCGCCTTAGGTGAGGAAAGAGGACTGTTTTCTTCTTTTCTTTTCTTTTTAAAGGTTGCACACGTATTTGTGTGTGTAAAAACACAAACGTCATTACAACACAGCCACATATTTAAATTGGCGGGTGGATGTAGATGAGTGCTGCACTTGTAGTTGCTCTGGAGAGGCTTGGAGAGCTTTAAATGGCTGCAGTGAAGGGGAGACTCGGAGAGGTGAAATGGGCAGATGGGCTGCTGCACATTGATGGAGCTGTCACCCACAGTTGCTTTAATGATTTTGGCACACGTTGACTCTGTGCTGTATCCGGGAGCCCACAGGGAACAGCTGTGTTTGGGAGGGTGAGGGTGGAGGGGTCGGATAGATGGGTGGGGGTGTCTCAGGCGGCCCTCGCTTTACCCTCCCTCGTTACGGGGCTGTCACCGAGGCAGCCGAGCGAGACCCGGGCAGAGGGAGCTGCAGAGTGGTGCTATTAAAACTGATTAGACGTGTCACACCTGCTACACGGAGCACTGTGTGTGTGTGTGTGTTTGCAGAGTGGAAAGATGAGCACTCTTGAGTGGGACTGAAGTTAACACCTAGTTGCTCTTGTGTGGCAGTGTTACACTAAAAGTCAGAGCGAGCCGGGTTTCATTTCGCAGGTTTGAAGCTCCGGCCAAACCAACCGGAGCCGACTGTCACTCCCAAAACCACGCTGGGACACGAGAGCCTCCAGGTGTCCATGGAAACACTGCCAGCCTTTTCCGATTGGTCCTTCGAGACGCCCCCATTGCCCCGCTCTGCTCCTCTTTCCTTTCTTTTCACCAGAGGGTAATTACTGTCAGATAAGGAGAGTTTAACTTTCAGCCAAATATCCAAAAGTGCGGTTAGATTTGAGGTAATGCTCCTAATTCATCACGCCATTGATATGAAAATTACCGTCTCTGGTAATAAGACAGTAATCACGTGCGAGTGCTTCAGAAGAGAAAAGACTGAAAGTGGAGGCTGATGCAGCTGCGCTCTTCTCGAAGAGGCTGCTGGTGGTGCATTCGGGGATCTCTCCTGGGCGTTGCTCCCCACTGTGCTCAAAATTGGTGAACATCTGTGAATATTAGAGCTGTTAAATATTTCATCGTGTCACCTGAGGCTGACGGGCTGCTCCTCAATACCCCTTCAGCCCTGGCTGTCCTCATGCCTCTTTAACATGATTACATGTCAGTGTCCTTACTGATTGTCAGTCACAAGTTAAATAATGTGTCAGATTTAATTTTATTTGGGTGTTACAGGAGCTTTTTAGCCAACTACAGTCAGGAGGCAGGTTTGACACAGTTGAAGTCAGAGCTTTAGGAAACTGCATCTATGTACATGTCTATTAAAAGCTTTCTATATTATAATGAAATAATAATAATTATTATAATAATAAGGAAAGTAAGACTAAAAGATGTTGAGATGGTTGAATGGTTCACAAATTGCTAGTATCTTACTATAGTGATCATAGAGTATTTATGTATGTCTGTATGAACTCCTCCTTAATGGGGGAGCCAGTCACAAAACCTACGTACGCAACTTAACGGTGTCCAGAATTTCTATTTTTTTGTGTGTGACTACCACATTACGCTATTCCAAGTAAATGTCAAACCCAAGGTTCGCAGTTTTAGGTTTTGCTTTCAAATTGAACAGGTTTCTCAAATAAGATGAATACATGTAATAAATACAGGAGGGAAACAAAATAGCACCACAGGCATGGCAAAAAACGCTTGTAGGGAGGGTTTGTCCTAGTGTTTGTAATGTAGATAGGAGCCATGTAAGGCTGTAAAAGTCATTAATAAAACTTTCAAATGAATTGAATGTTACATCTGACAGGTAGCCAGTGTACTGGTCTTTTTATTCAAATCCTGGGACTTTTTTTTAATGAGCTGGCTTTTTTTTAAGTTGATGGACTTTTGGCTGGGACCCAAGCAGTAGGGCTGCACGATTAATCGTTAGAAAATCGCGATCTCGATTCATACTTATGTGCGATCTCATTTCCAAATGACAACGATTTAAAAAAAAGAAAAAGAAAAAAAAGACGACGACGACTGTACCGCATTTTGATCCGGGACGTACTCTGCATGAAAACAAGCGCTCACTCTTCCTGCTCAACAAATGACAAGGGCGGAGCCTTATACCACGTGATACAGAAGCTGTGCCGTGTGATGCTAAAATTAGCAGGGAAAAAACAACGGAGAGCACGTCAGGGATGACGAGAAAGTGACAGGAGAAAATCCATCCTGGGTCAACCACCCAAACATCAATAACGGGAACCTTATACAGCGCTTCCCTATACACGTCGAACTCCCGCAGGCACAAAGAAATTACGGAGGCTATCACTTATCACCTGACCAATGATATGGCTCCCATCAACACTGTGCAAAACGAGGGATTTAGGAAAATGATCAACACCCTAGACAAACGCCACACAGTGACGTCCCGCAACTATTTTTCTATTGTTGCGCTACCTGCTCTATACACGCAGCGTCGAGCAACGGTGGAGACATAATTTCAAGCAGTACAACATTTTGCGGCAAAAACAAAACGTGAGACATTTGTTGTTTTTATGTTTATTTATTGTTTTTATGTTCAGTCTCAACTGTTACGAAGTTGATGTGCAGTTAATAAGTGCAATAAATATTTATACTGGAAAAGAAAATCGTGAGAGAATCGTGATCTCAATTCTAAGCCAAAAAATCGTGTTTCTCATTTTATGCAAAATCGTGCAGCCCTACCAAGCAGTGAACATTGCAGCAGTCCATGAAGGAGTGGGTGAATTTTACGAGCTCTGTTACAGATAGAAAATGATTGACTTCTCCAACATTTCTTATGTCTGATTTGTACAAATCTGTAGAGCCCACGATTTAGCCTACGTAACTGGGTGACAGCATTGCCAGTAATAAAACCTGTATGGGTTGCGTCGATTACTACGTCAAGTTGAATTTCTAGTAAGGTGTGCATCAGGTTGAAATGTAGGAAGTTTTTACAGTCCTGTGAATAACTTGGCACCTCCTTACTGCTTCCATAGGAATTAAGAGGTTAAGTAGCAGCCAGGTACAGATTATCAACTGCAGTTGGTAAAGTAATCATCCACAAATCTAAGCGCCTCTATAAAAGCTGAAGTTTTGGCAGTTTGCTGGTTTGGAACAATAGTCTGCTCCAGTTTTTAAGAGCTGAGGCGATAAAATGAAACCCTGATGATGACCCTAACCCTAATAAAAACATCACACACACATGTTTTGACTACCTCTGTCAAATTGACCAGCCGTCCTTCCAGGCTGACTCCCCGATGTGTTTCTTTCCTCCGCCTGCCCCAGCTGGATGTTGCTGCTCATTGATCAAGTCCAACCTCACGTCTTTATCACACAGCAGTGATTATTGATCAGGCGTCCACCACGGGATGACTTCAAAGCAGTTTTTCCTCTGCTGCAGGATGTTTTTCTGCCTCTCGTATTTTACTTTGTGTCGCTCCCCTGAGCACTCCCCCTCTCCTCATTTGATCTGTGCTCGAGGGTTCACGCCCGGCTGTTGGCCACTAACACCTCCAACAGACACAGTTTGGTTAATATGGATTCTCCTTTCTGCAGGTGGTACAGCTGCATGTTGGGAAAGAAGTGCAGCCTGGCACCTTTGAAAGAGGAGCTGAGGAAGCAAGGGGTGAGTAGCCAGCGAGACCCAGAACAAAGAGAAATTTACGAATACATGCGCAAACACGGTAATCAGTGAGAGTTACAAAGCAGGCACAGCTTTGATCTCAGTTTGTTCATGCAGAGACACGATGCTTCTTGCAGGGCTTGTTAAAACAATCTTTGCCACACCCCCGTCGCCCAAGCTACCTTTCTCCTATGTATTGATGTTTAAAGGAGGCAATCACCAGCACCAGCTGAGCACGCTCACAAACGAGCCATGAATGAGCTGATTTCTGTTTGCTGTGCATGACTGAATCACACGCCTCTCAGTAGCTAACATGCATTAGCGTCATTAGCCTGACTAATAGCCCAGCACATGACTCCTGACTGCTGCGGGCCTGCAGTACCGCGCCAATCTCACAGACCGCCCGGCCCCCGCCCCGCACCTGCCACCCCTCAACCCTCCTCCAGGGTGTCGCTGCTCATCAGAGTGAGTGCAGCGTTGGCTAACATCCAGGAAGAAGGCTTCATTCTGAAGCGTGTGTAAAAAGAAACCTGCGCTTGTTAATATGCTAATGCTTTCATCACCAATTACTTGAGTCATTCTCCAGCGTGTCCTCAGTTTTCTTTGTGTTTTTAATTTAGCAAATGTGACTCATAAAAACTCATCTCACCCTCAGAGCTGTCTGACATATAAGATAAGTGACTTCCTCTTATTTTCTGAGAAAACCCCGACAGCAACAAAGTGGATTCCCACATCCTCCTTATGTTCTCACATACTGTCAGAGACGTGAAGCCAAAGGTCACACTGGCAAAACATCACACTGTCAGATTCAGTCACTGCTTTCTAGAAAGACTAAATTCCTAAATTGTTAGTTTTGATCGCAGATACTGCACACACCAATCAGTCACAGCTGCCAATCAGCACAGAAACTCCAAATGTTTTTATAATGATGGGTTTTGTTTTAAACAAAATATTGAATCGGTGCTATGGGAAGGATTTTATTTGGATAAAATAACTGAATACTGATAGTGAGACGGATACGTGTAGATATAAAATGACAAGCCTCTGTTGCAGGAAAATATTTGAAGTTTGGATTTTTCTGTATTTAGCCATAAATGATCATCAGATTTTCACCTAAGAGTGTTTTCACACCTGCACTCTTTATTCCATTTAAAATCATTTTACTCCTCCCTGCGATTCGGTGTAATTCAGCGATGGTACACAAACATTTTTATTTTAAAATGTTTCTTTTTTCACATCTAGTTCCAATTTTTAGTTTAAATTAACTATCATAAATTTTGTTTGTAGAGATGTATTTTGCGTGACTTGGACTTTTTCTCTTTCCAACAAATATTTTACATGTGATCAGTTTCTGTGGTGTATTTTCTTTATGAATTTATCGTTTTGATGATCTCAGGTACAGCCTGGTCGCCAGAGTACTGCAGTGTTTTCATGCTGTGCACTTGTTAACTCCAGACTCCTCTCTGTTTTTGCTCAGGTGCCTAAAGTGACCCACACTGAGTTTTGCCAGGGGCGGACCATGCGGTGGGCACTGGCTTGGAGTTTCTATGACGACGTGGTTGTTCCGGTGAGTTTGTACAGATTTATTGTTGTTGTTGTTGTTAAATGTCAGTAACAGAGGATTACCAGGATCAGGATTACATATAAAAGCAGGTTACCTGCTCAGCTCTGAGGAGCACATTTTGCTCTGCTGCTGGATGTTTCCAAACCCTCTCCTCAATAATGCACCACCTCTGTCCCTCTCCAGACTGGATCCTCTTTCCCTGCAGCCTCGTTCCATTATGTGCACTTACTCCGTCCTCTGGGGAGATGTTTATGTGATTTCTAACATGCTGTAGCCAGGCAACAGTCGCCAGGGCAGAATTGTGCGCGCACACTGTACCGCAGGCGTGTCTGGATTAGAGGGTGAGAGTTGGAGTTAAACAGACATGAAAGCATTGCAGAGAGAGATCTGGAAATGATGCTGCAGTGCTGATGAAGTCAATCAAACACATAAATGCAGGTGAAGCAGAGGGCTGTTTGGTGGACTGTTTCTGTTTTTCAGCAAAAAAGCAGTTGAGCAGAATGATTGGCCTAATTTTTCTCCAGCTACCATCCTCCACGTTCACACTGCTCCAAATCATCAACAGGCAGAGCCCCTCGAGCACATGTGGGGTTACGTGGCAGAAGTTCACGGTCAAACGCCCAATTCTGCCTGCATGAACCTTTCTATGGTCATCTGGTTTATGTATATAAGCATGGGAGAGCGCATTAATGTTAAATGTAGACTAAAACATATGTGACATATATGATCTGTGACCTACTTAACCTCATTATTACCCGTGGTGACTTAATTCATGTCTGGTGTAACCAGAAATGTTTGCAGTACAGTTATTGAAGTAGTGGAAACCTCAGGATTCTAATCCAGGAAGAAATAGATTTTTGGTCAATTTTATTTATTTATTGTTTTTGCATGTCATTTTCATTTGGTTCCCTCATTTGGAAATAGCTTCAGTCTAAAAAACAAGATAGGAGACGTGTTTATGTTTTTTAAACACTTGGATCTGTATGATGTCAGTGAGAGCTTCTTCCTCTTCTGCACTGTGATCATCTTCCATCTCACCCTCTAACATCCTCCTGTCACACCAACCCTGTGCATGTCCTTAATCCCGACATCCATGAATCTTCTCTGAGGTCTTCGTCTTTACCTCCTCCATTTTCATCATCCTTTGTCCAGTATATCCACTATTCCTCCTCTGCACATCTCCGAACCCTCTCAACCATGCTTGTCTAACTTTGTCTCCACACTGCTCCACCTAAGCTGTCCCTCTGATGTATTCATTACTATTCCTGTCCATTCTGGTCAGTCTTCAGCTCAGCCTCCTGTCTTTTTGTGCACACATCTCAGCAGGTCTCACTGCCATCCTGTAACCCTTCCCTTTTACTCTTGTCACAAATTACCTCCGACACTTGTCTCCACCCTCCCCACTCTTCTTCACCTCTGTTGCTCTGAATAGTTGATCCCAGGTATTCGAACTCATCTACTTTTACTATCTCTACTCCTTGCAGCTTCATGGCTACACCCGTCTCCCCCACCATCAGTGACACTCTCTCTGTGTGATGCCACTGACTGCAGATATCATTAATATGGTCAACTCAGAAACATAGCACTGACCTTTTAGCAAAGCAGCCCCACTTCCCTTTTCAGACCTACTATTTGTGAGGTTCAGCCAGTCAGGAGAAAACTAGAAACAGACCAAGGATGGAACTGAAAGGCTAAACCGAGGCTCAGTATAAAGGATTATTTTCATCTGTGAATAATGCAAAGCTACTCTACTAGATTAGAGTACTATGGAGTTGGAATCAAGTGTAATGAGTCCCCTTTAAACAGTTTGGTTATTTTCTAATTTATCCTTTTGACTCTGGAAACTAGCCGTGGCTGTTTGATTGGAGCGTCAGCTTGATCCCAGTCTTTTTAGCTTTTCACTGAGTTTTGTCTTCCTCCTGTAGTCCGATACAACCAAAGACCGCATAGACAACCCTTCCCTCGTTTGTTTTTTCCAACACAACACAAATCCACACTGTTTTCAACATATGAAATAATACGAGCTGTTGTTATTTTTAGATTCAATCGTATTACAGAGAGAGGACAAAATGCAGGGGATGTAGTGAATTGAAAGGAAACTACATTAGATAGAAAGACCTTTCGAATGCAGACAAAAGAGGAGGAAGCACATCCAGCACAGGCCGACAGAATAAAAGGACCTGTAGACAGAGAAGACTGCCAGGCTTTATCTAAGCCCTGAGGCCCACTGTTGCTCATACAAGCCTGTAGCAGCAGCAGGAGGAGGAGGGATCAGGAGTCCAGAATCCAAGCTGGGGTTTGGGGACCTGA